ATTTCATCATTGAAATCTTAACATTAATGTTTCATGCACAAACTTCCCTGGAAGATGGGTAATAATGTTACCTGCCTGCATCTGGTACATTGAAAAATTAACACTTGTCTTGTCTGCAAAGTGTGAAGGTGCCTGAATGCGACAAGGGTAATTTCTTATTCAAATCATTGGTTTAACAGAGATGCTGAATAAAGGGGTGCCAAGTATTGTAACTTTATTATTAATATGTTTGGTCTACATATATATTTTCTGCCAGGAATGTATACTGGGATAGGAATGAAGAATACCTGTACTCTTCTCTCCTTCCACCTATACCAGCAAAAGCTTTAGTGCAATTACAGGTATGGTGATTGCAGAATTTCAGTAAGCTGTACTAGGAAAAGTGCTTTTCAGCTAGCATTACCTTTCTGTACTAGGAAGCTGTGCCAGGAGACTCATCCTAGCAGATATGGATACAGAAGCTGTCATACTGCCTCAGAGAAAAGCTCTGTTCAGCCCTATACCCTGACTCCCACAGAGGCCATTAACACCTTCTGCTGCTGGAATTCAAGGTCTGGGGATTTCTGAGCCAGAAGTCACATAATGGCTCAGTCACTGCTGTGTTTACTTTCTGAGAAATCACCTAATCCTTTCCATCTCATGTTTGGTTTTGGCCCTTACCATGTCCTGTGGTGAGGAGTTTCATAAACCAAACAGAAGGCCTGTATTTTGAGGTGCATGTATCTCTGAGCTGGCAAGACTGTGAAAATGTATGGTTAGGCCATACATTTGGAAAGAGAGGAAGAGAACAGCAGGGATGGCCTGACCCAGCAGCTGAATGTATATGCTCTCCCTACAACCCACGTGCACACTGGAGGATGCGGCTCCGTTAGTGTGCACAGAGCACAAGAACAGCCTCCAGTGTGTCGACTGGCTCCACCAGAGCATCCTACATCGTTTTTCAAAGGTCTCTGCTGCTGACCGTTCCTTGCCCTTGCTTCATTTGTCATTCCAGGGCATGAAACATTCCTGCAGCTCAGCTGTCTTCCCGGGCCTCTCCTGACATGCTGTCCAAAGGTCATCAAACACAATCTTCCCTCGCCCACAGCCTCTTGGCTTGGAGGTCCGCCAAGCTGAGGCTAAGTGGTAGCACTCGTTGTTCCATAAGGCCTCTCAGGTGCTTGAGCAAACAAAGACTGGAGAGGAACAGATGCCTCGGTAGCATGTTCAGGCTGGAAACACGCACCGGTTCCTGTCTGGGACTCCTTGCTCTCCCCTGCTCTTCTCAGGCTGAACGCTGTTGGAGATGGTTCATGTGGTGTTTCTCTCTCAGCTGCTGCAGAAAGTTCTGTTTTTTCAGTTATGCCCAAAGCAGCTTTGCAACGGAAAAGTCAGTGTCTGTCCAAACCCTAATTTCTCTTTGGCAGCTGCATCAGCTAAGCTAAAGGGAATGTATTAGTATCTTGGGTAAAACTGGAATTACTCGATTCAAGCATGGTCTTCCTCTCATCACTTATGTTTGCACTGTTTCAGTTCTATACACATTCACTTAGTTACAGCCTAATCCCCAGCTCCTTGTTAAAAAGAAAATAAATCCTTTCACCTGTTATGAAGGAGCACATGTAGAATTAACTAGCCAAGCTTGCCAAGACAATCACACTGCACTGTGACCCAGGGGGGCTGGCTGGGTTTCTAATAGTCAGGATGAAGACACGGGATTTGCCTACATAAGGAAAAGAACACTTCGCTGCTGACAGTAGGTGTCAGCAGCAGATGACAATTTGTGCTGAACAGGATCTCCTTGACTTGAAAGCAAAGACAGGAACCACTTTCTGAGCTGTTTCAGCCTACTTTGAGCTTGATTTTTACCTCAATTTCAGAAGCAGCGCAGATCAGCTTGTTTCTATCTATGCTGCGACCACATAAATTTTTGCAGTGATCTAATTTCACTTGTTACTGCTACTGATTCTTTGCAAGCCGTGTATCAAACTACAAAGAGCCCCAAACAGGTCTGCCTTTATCGAATATCAAACCTGTTACAGTTCTAAGTCTCCCACTCTTGCAGTGGTTCAGAAAGCACTGGTGGTATTATTCAAATCCACAGCAATAAAGTAATACTCCTCCTCCTGGAAAAAGAATGTTGATAAAGTATTCCCAGTGTGAAGGTCAGCTGCAAAGTTGCTCCACCTCAGTATTTTCTCTATGTTCATTATGCCTTTTTTCTCTTTATTTTTTCCTCAACCATAATTGTTTTCTGTCCATTAAAGAAGATGCAATGCATTTACAGCCGCTAAATGACATGAAAATGACTACAGGAGCTGACTGTGAGATGAATAACTCCCATTACTCATCAGCAGCAAGAGATTTTCAGATTGCTGGTAACTTCAGTTCTGTCTCAGTAAATGCATCCCCACATGCTGATTTACAAGGGCACGGGAGGCCTGTAGAAGACGACTATCAGGGGCCAGGACCTCAGCTGTGGTCAGGAGGCCAAGTCTCAGGGGATCCTCTGAAATGACATACAAATACAGGTGTAGAGCAAAGACTGCACAGGAGCATCAGTGCCAGGGAAGTCAAGGCAAATCTGGTAAATGAGCAAAATTCCCTTTACAGTAACTCAGAGAGAACCTGGTCGTTAAGCAGAGGGTCATTTGTCTCCACCATGCTTCGGAGTGGATAGTTTGAAGACTGAACTGGGCTATGGCTCAGATGGTCCTCAGAGCAAGAGGTGTCAACACACAGCACTGATAATTGCCCTTAGGACTTCTTTAGGGATGCAGGATGAAACTTTCAAGCCCAGGAAAATAATACTGTTACAACTGCTATTACAGCTGCCTAGTATTTCCTGCTGTTGTGTGAGAAGAGTGAGCAGACAGGACATACCAGAGCAAAGGCTCCACCGGCAAGCCTGGCTTTGGCTAGTGCAGGTGTAAACTCGCTACCCTTCATCACGCTTGCTTGCTGCTCTATTTCTGGCCTTCTCTGTTCATTCTAAGACATGCTGCAGTGCGACAGGAACATGGATACAGGGCCAAATCCCCTTTCTTGTGCTTGGCACTAGCACTGTGGCATTTTCAGAAGCATCTGATATCTGTAAACACACATCTACCTACAGGGTTTGCAATGGCATGCCTGTGGAGTGGCTGAGCTAGCACATCCTAGGCCAGCTTCCTGGTTATACAAGTCTTAGTCATTCCTAAGGTAGGATGGAGAGGACGTTTTCAGGTCTTCCCCATACCACCAGTTTACCAGTCCTTAATCTGTTCCAGCCACCAGCTGCCAATACTGGATCCTTGACAAAAATGCTTCTCTGACAAAGGCTGAAAAAAGTTATTTTCACAGACATACTGCCTACAAAGGTCCATTTGCAGCCCGACAGTTTGCTCCCTTGACTACATCTCAATACACTCCAGCCATTCCTAGCAAAATGTACTTTTTGCAAGTGCTTGTCACTTCCTTATTGAAGAAACATTGACACTCAGCAGGAAGAGGGAACTAAGACAGAAGACAGTGGGAGATAAGAAATACTGGACACATAAAGGGAGTCTGCTTATTATTTTCATTAGCACTGGCAAAACACAGCTGCAGTAGAAACAGAGGCATCAGAAAGTAAAAACTACTGTAGTTAGACACAACACTGGGAAAGCGAGAGAATCAGCTGTAGAGGAAGGTTTTAGCAAAATATGCTGAGGGATATGGAGCCTCTCCAAAGCAGCACCTAACCCTGAACTGCCCCAACAGGTATGGAAGGAGAACAAGGGACCTGGACAATGTCTCATTAGACACAGCATGAGAAAACATTGTCTATTAGTATAGATTGCATCTCTGAGATTTTTTTATTCCTGCAATTTCTATGTGCAACAACGCCTACTGCTGGAAATCCTGCCACCTGGCTTTCCAAAAGTTCATTTTGGAACTTAGTGATGTAAAGAGATGATCATGGAAGGTGTTTTTTTTTTATTATTTAAAACAAAACCCAACAACATACAATCTCGCCTTCCTGATAAGTCTAACACACACCTTGCACCCAGAGAAAAGAGCAAGTTGCATAGCATGACAGTCAGCAGAACTAGCTAACATCTGACCTGGGAGTTGAGTCACAAGACAGAGTGGCATAGAGAAAGCTTATCTCTGTGCATCTTTGTCTTTCATCACATGCTTCAGGGGAAGTCAGCTGTAAAACCAGGAGTTTTATTCCTGTAATGAGCTTTAGTTTTGTGTGAGGATGCAAGACCTGTCAGAGTATGAGCAGAACTAGTCTCAGGTGCCAAGAACTGCAACTGTCCTACAACAGCATTTAACAGTTTAATCATTTACGTACACCTTGCAATTACGAAGTTGCTGTGAAGATGCTGCCAAAACCCTGGCCAGGAGCAGAAAGAAGACTAAGGCCTTCCAGATCAGATGTTCAGGAAAGAAGCTCCAAGTGTCTCACAAGCAGAGCTCTAAGCTGCCTTCCACAAGTTCTTTTCATTCAGGAGCCTCACCAACATCCTTGACCTGTGATCAAGGAAACTGGTATCAGAATTTGCAGGCCTCTGTTTAACTCTGCTTTAGTACCGTCTCTGTTCAGCAGTGATGCATTCTCAGTATAAGAAGCAGATCCATCAGCTGCTATCCCAGGGTAGAGTTCTGCTATATCCACAACTGGGAACAGCAACAGTGATCATAACTTCTTTTGAAAGGTTCAGCTAATCACCGTGTAAAACCAAGAACTCACCAACATGATGAAGCTTTTCTACACACTCAGATGCTAAACCTTGATTTACAAGAAATCCTTAATTTCCTTATGTGCTTCAGTATTTTGTTATTGGGAAAATCTAATCAATACAATAACTCTATTCCTAGTATTGATTTATTTTGTTGAAACAATGTACAGTTTACCACCTCTGTGTCTGGAGGTAAAGGATGTTAGTACACCACCTGGGAGGTGGATGATGAAACATAACCAACCCTGAAAAACAGACACTGCCAACCCTGCAGGCCTCAAGATAGTGCTTTAAAGACAAAAATACTCCTTATTAACTTCAATTATTTCTTTATTTCATTACTTTATCAGAGAAGGGCAAAAATATCCTGTGAACAGATTCAGAAACCATGGTAATTCATCAAGTTTATGCATTAAATCACATTTCATGCAGAAACTATACATACAAATAAAAACAATGTCTAAAGCATTTCGTAAGACATCATAACTTGAGAGCAAACTTCAGCTCCAAACTACCCAGTTAACAAAAATCCAGTTTCATTGTTCTATAATTAGTTGGCAAAGAGAGTATTGACTTCAGTTTCAACCTGAATACAAATACATAAAAACTCCACATTTAAAATAATTATTTTGCTATATTTGGTCAAAAGGATAAGATTCATCATGTAAGTTTCCTCAAAAAAGGTAAAACTTTCTAATAGGCCAGCAGTAAGATCTTTGACATTTCCCCTTCTAGGCTGATAGAGCAGGCTGTAATTAAGATATTTTCCCCCAATCCTCAATCAGCTCTGAGCAACAAACCACTATTTTATCTCTAAGTTATCAATTTTATCACGATTCCCACTTTTTCACTGCAAGCTCTACACTTTCATAGCTTCCGTTGACTTCTTAAAAGATTTTTCTTTTTTTTTTTTTTCTTGCTGAAGCCAGACATTGAACTCTGGTATTATCTGAGCCAAATATTTCTGTACTCATGAATGGACATAGTTGCTTTTTGAAGAGTAACAGTTAAGTCACTTTCCCAGACTAACCATACCTGCTAAATCTCCTTGTGGAGATGCAGCTTGTATCAGCAAAACAGAGCTTTGCTTTTGCTGTAATAGTTTACATCAATTCCCAGACACAGTATTTTCACAAGAATGAAAGCCATGTTTCACAGACTGCTGCCAGCATAGACATGCCGTGTGCACACACACACACACACACACACACACTTCTAAGCTCTGTTAGGAGGCCTTGGGAGAAGACCTGGTGGTCAGGCAGCCCATTTTTCACTCACCTTCTGCCTTCTCCCGCTAATCCTGAGAAATTTATCTGTTTTTTTCCAGTAATGCCTCTCCCCTGGCACAGTCAATCACATAAGAACTATATGACACTTCTCAGAGTCCCAAATTATCACCACAGAACGAAGCAAGGCCTCTCTGCGTCCCACTCTGACAGCATTTTGTTTTTAAAAAGCACATTTGGAAAGTTTACATCCCATTAAACATTTAATTTTCCTTCTTTGATTAGTCTCAAGGCCTGCTATGTTTCAGAGATACTACCACCTTTGGATTAAGAATGCTCCCTTCCCTTTTGCAACAAGCACCTTTGGTTTACTGTGTCCTGGACAGGTCATCTAACAGGCCAGACCACTCATATCAGAAGTTTTCACTTAATTGCTAACATCCACCATAAAAAGAAAAGTCTGGACCCTCAGTGTGGGCAAAGTCCCTGTAGCCACATGAATTGAAATTACCTCAGATTTCCAGAAGAAGGTCCAAATTTGAGAAGGACAATCTTGTCTCTTTTCAGGTTATTTTTTTCATAATTTATACACAAAATCCCCCAGGTTTGCACAGCTACTTAGATAAGCCCTAAAACATACAACATCCTCAAATCTGCAAATTTTGGCTCCAGCAGTCACATAGCACAGATACAAACATTATATTAGTCTGTCCCTATAGATATAGTTTTGCTCTTTTCCACTAAGGAAGAACCCAAACACTCATCTGAGTAGTTGACTGCACATACAGTAATGTTCACATGAATTTTACAAAGACAAACAAAAGTAGCTTCAAAGAGCAACAACCCTTAGATATCAGGTGGATTATACACTAGGCCTTTCAGATGCAGGACCACCAAGAAAAAGAAAAAACTCTGAAATTCTGGATTAAATGAAATTAAGCCCAGAACACAAGTAAACTACTTGCTTTGAAAATCTGGTAAGGCTACCATTGCCATAATCCCTCAAGTATAGACAGATACATAGGCACTGAAATATCATTCTTCTTAACTTGGATATGTTTATTTTGTATCTTATGATAAACTGTTGTTTTGAAATAACAGATGTTCCAACACCTGTGATACATGAAACAAGACTGAAATTCCACATTTCCAGAGAAAGAGAGGAATTCTTTGCCTAGTCCTTTCCATATCTTCTGATATCCATTTCTGAAGCCTACTACTAATAAAAAGGGTATTAGTATAAGGGAAGATTTAGTTCAATCACTCAGATGTAATAATGTCAAGGAGTTCATCTTCGTTTTGTACCCCCAAAGCCTGCAAAGAAAAAAAACAGGATCAGCTCCACCATACCCTTTCCCCTGGGCTCTCTAGTTCTAAAATGGCTAAAGGTGGCAAGTGAGAGGAGTTAAACATATTCACATAAAGTAGAGCAGCAAACAACTGTGGGCTGACTGGCCTGAAAAATATTCTATTCTTGCAGATTAGACAACCTTCTTTCTACAAAGAAATCATGTTTGTAAATGTTTGCTAGAGAAGGGCATGTGTAGTGCACAAAGGGGAAAGCCTTCAAACTAATGCACCTTGCAGATGAAGACAAAGCCAATACCTATGCCATGCTCACTGCAGGCCGCTTCAGATCCCACAAAACTGCCCTACTTGCACAGGAAACATAAATAAGGGACACTGTTACATCACCACCTGTACTAATTGGTAAAATAAAAGAAAGAACACTTGCTGAACCCCAACTAATACCTGTTTATTTGACAGGTCAAAGTCTCCCAAGCTAGAGGAGACTAGAAGGTCTTTTGGCTTACCAGAAGCAGTTCTTGTTCCTGAGCTGCTGCCTTGTGTGGAATTGGTTGACTGCCCATTCATTGGAGGTGCAGCTGCGGGATCTGTCCACATCCTGTAATATGGGGACTGTGGCTGTGCTCTGATGAGAGAACAGAAGGAAGGTGCTTCATTAGTGACCTTATGAAAAATTAAGAAGTTGCCATTCCAAAAACAAGGGGGGGGTCGCATCTCAGAGGGAAAACTGTAAGCAGGGAGTATCTCCCTATTTAATGTAATTAATGTGTTAAGGGCAAAGATATTGTGTTGTCACAATAACATCCGTAGATTTTCAAAAGGAAGTTAAGCCTCATTCTTCAGGATAAGCAATTCGAACAATTGCAGATGAGGAAGTTTTTTCCTCTGAAATTCTGACCTTAGATGCTGTCAGACAAGAAAGTAGATTTGACATCTGCAGCTTGAGTGCATTTTGGCAACACCTACATCCCAGCCATGTAAGACCAAAGAAAACATCCCTGTTTGTTTTGAAAAGGCTGTTTCAGTAAGATGAACATATCATGACCTCTGTTTTACCCATTTAAACTATTTGCTTCTATGGATATAGAATTTCCTGCTGTTGAAATATATAAATAAAGCCTTTAACACATTCTACCTTTTAAGAATTCTTAGTGAGGTTAATATAAGACAAGATCACAGACTCATAGAATCATTTTGGTTGGAAAAGACCTTTAAGATCATAAAAATCAAGATATGACCTTTCAACCTCTAAAGCTCTATACAAAGTGAATTTATAAACAATTTCTACTGTTGATGGTATCACTGTTCCAGTTTCATCTTATTTGACTCTGAGATCAATACTGCACATTGGACATTTTAGAAATTCTCATGTCCTATGCTTTTACTTCCTTAAACAGGGAATCTTGATATGGCTTCTGTCATTATGAAAAAAAAAAACATTACAATGAAGGAAGATGCTTTAACACACTGCTATCCACACAATCTTACTCCCAAACTTTCAATATAAGAAAAGATAATGGGTTATATTAAATCTGTTGTATTACTGCATTCCTGCAGGATTAGACATGGTACACATACAGTTATCTGATAGAGGAAACTGCCTGGGCTTGAAAGATTTCCTGCAAGAGCCACATATGTTCCTTACTAAAGCCTAAAATGACAGCAATTGCTCCCCTTAAACTATTTATCTAAAAATGATGGATTTTAAATGTCTGAAAGTGTTTAGCAAATATGACCAGCAGATGTTTACTCCAGCACTGAAACTGCTTTTGAAAGCCATTTGTGCTATGTTTTTCCAAAATGCAACTTACATATGACTTACAAGTCCTTTGGAAAACCACACTTTTTGCATTTCCATTTATGGGCCATTAGGTGACTGTAGATTAAGGACTGTTTAATCTGACCACACCATGTATCACAGAAGAGCTGCTGCCATCCAGACTGACATTAGGAGAGATGACAACAATACAAGAGACCTATCTACAGATGGTTTTATACTTAATATTATTGTCCATGTTTTAAGGCAGTCTGTAGATAATTGATTAAACACTCATTTTAAATTTGCAGGCCATCATACCACATCAGAGTAATCAGCTAAAGCATAATGAAGTACCTCAGTGCTCCCAATTCTTCTTCCCCAGAAATATGTTTAAAATGTCTCTGCTGCTGGAGCTATAGATTGCTCCTCAAAATTGTTCTAGAGGTAGAGTTTTATAGCTTGAATGATACAGGCTTGAAAGTCTTAGAAACAACATAAACATCGTATACAGCATACCTGCTAAAAGCTGAAATACTTAAAACCTGATAGCATGTTTATTTTACCTGTGACTGCCAGCCAAGTAGCCTAGCAAGCCTCCTGTTCCTAATCCAGTCCAAAACCCTGGTCCTGAACTGGTTCCGTGATGGGAATGAGTCCCAAAGCTGTTCTCTTAAACAAAATAAAAATGGAAAACATATCAGTTAGTGGCACCTAATCCTCAGGCCAGCTGTTGCAACAAGACCTTCCCCTGTTGAAGATAATGGAAAGTTAGACAATAAACTCATCACGATTCCAGTAGCTTCTTGATCGAGCCTAACCTGAAAGGTCTCTCAGCTCAGAGAGCAGGAAAAAAGCCCATAGAAACAAACATTAATGTAAAGAGTTCTACATCAAAAATTAGCTTCCACTGAATCTCACAGCCTTGATGTTTGCAAAGCATGGCAAAGAGTCCCTGCCTCTTTATAGACAGACAAGTCAGTTTAAAAATAGAAAAGGAAAGGAAGAAAGAATAATCTGCTCAAGGTCACACACCAGGCCAGAAGCAGACGCAGAAACAGACAAAGTGCATAAGACCAAACAGTGAACTAACCACTAAGACAGACAGCTTCTAATCTCACTCAGAACAGCTGCACATTTTGAGTAACAGTGGCTCAGTCTAACGGCTAACATTACTTTGTATTGTTTCTGGTAATCCTAGTCTGGTATTTGTTATCAAAAGACATGCTAACTGCAGTCACATTGCAAAATTTATTATGCATGAATCACCACGCTTGACAAATACCTTGACGAAACTGCAAGCATATCAAGTGGGTTGTGGGGGGAGGAGAGTCAGAGATTCTTTTGTGTGTGACCTGCGTAAGATGAGGTTCTGACTCTGAACCAAATGTCTTCCATTTAGAAATAAAACCAGAAAATGCAAAACCAAAGGAGATTAATTTTCTGGTGTAGAGAAAAACACGGATGCAAGAAAAAGCTCAACCACAGATTTAACACATAAGGGAGTGTAAAAGGCAAGGACTAAAGATAACACTAGAGTCTCCCTGAAATAGGCCCACCTAAACAAGCGGGCCAGAGATTTTTGTATGCAGAAGTTATACAGGGCCTAGTTTATCTTCAAATTGGTATGGATTGTTTGAAGTAATGGAAAATAAAATAAATTAAATAATCAGTTTAAATCTACATTGGATCTGATGTAAAACTTCATTTTGAATGCACTGGGAGAAAGATAAACTCTCATTGGGATGATATATCCATTAAACTATGCTGATTTGGAACAAAAAAAAAAAGTACTTAATTTACTGCAAAAACAATGTTAATCAGGAAGATGAACCAATTCATTTGTTCAAAAGCACCATGGCTGAACACTAACTCAGAAAACTGAGTCATTTTTTTGTTGAAGTATCTAGACTAAACATTAAGGATCATGTCAAGCCACTAACAGAAAAACTAGAATTTAATTAAGATAGGCTAGCTAAACAAGTTTCATGGGACACATTCTGCATGTTAAGGAGATTTAAAATGAGGCAAATTAAATATTAACAGCAATAAGTTAACAACGTTGCTTTTCATTACCATCCAGATTTTCAAAGACTAATACATTACTGGAACACTTGGACATACAGAGAGGTGCTTTTGCTCCGCTGCTAAAATTTAAGGCAGACACTAAATGCATGCAGTAGCATAACACTTAGTATTTTTAATATTTTTAAATGGGCCCCACATTCAAGAGTTTTTTCTCCTTACTCTCTTTGAAATCTAAGGAGAAATTATTGATGCTTGTAATTAAAAATGCCGTAAGTTAAGCCTAATATGCATTTTAAGTGTCTTAGTTTTCAGTGATCATCAAGAAAACATTTAAGGCACTGCTCTTGCTAGATTTCAGACTCCTGCAATGAAAAAATGCAATGGTGCAATTAACTGACAAGAAACAGAACAGAAAAAAAAATTCTTCACTCTGTTTTGTCTGTAACCAGTATGACAGAGCTCTGTTTTATGACCAGGGCTCTTTGTAAGTACCACAGTAATGCCGGTGGCAAGTGGCATGCCCACACAAGGTCACAGATGCTCATGCAGCATAGACAGACTGTCTGAAGTCTGAAATAACTACATGGAAGCCAATTTGCAAAGCCACTAGTAACACAGAAGCAGAATCCCTTTAATTTTCTGCTGCAGGTATGTCCAAAAGTTTGTTGCACATGCCCTGCACATGGATATCCAAAAGTGTTATACTGGCACCCTCTGTTGGCCAAGCAGCTTGAGCAAACCTGCAAGAAAGCATTAACAAACATTACTAAAATATAAGCTTTTGACTAAGTAAATTTAATCCTTGCTATTTATTTACTTACTAGAACCCCCTTCTCCATCTCACAAAAAAACCCCCAAAACAACAGATGGAGATTACACAATTTGTCAGAACGTAATTTGAGTTCCAGTGTTGTGAGCATCTCACAGGGTTAAATGAATTAGACACGAGATGAAACATGTTTATTTCCCTTAGACACTATGACAGACCATTTATTAAGTGACAAGAGTCATCAGTTTTCTGGGAAAAAAGAAAAGTGCATCTTTTCTTAGAAGCTGTCTTGTCACTGCCCACACAATTTCCAATTTCAGATGAAAGGCACCACATGAGATTCAGGTGCTGTACAGCTAATGATAATTCACACTGTTCTCTAATCTGGGAACCAAACTCTTCAACTGCTGGGAGCTGAAGCACCTGTTAAACAGGACTGGTACATGATACTCAACTCCATCAACTGTTTTGTGAATGAAGTCGGGGGTCAGGTAGCCCAATGGCTGAAAGACCCTTCTGTGAAGCTTCAAAGCACTTTCGCATAAATTTGTTTCTACCTCTGAGACTATTCTCTCTTCCAGATTACTTATGAAAATTATTCTTCCCTGTCACAATCCTCCTATTTCACCGAGTATGAAAAGAATGCTTGCAGAGCATGGGGAGATGGGTTTTCAAAGGTTCAAAGGGCAGCTTGCTGCACAGCCCGCCCTGAAAGCCCGTGGGCAACAAAGTTCTTATTTTCACTTTTGAACAAAGAACAGAGTGCAAAGCTGGCTGCAGGCTCTGTAACCAATTCAGCAGAGCCAACTGCCAGTGCATTGGTTTAAGTCCATCCCACCTGCACTTACTGCAGATAAAACAGTACAATCCTGCTTGCTCTTTTGAGTACTATAAACCGTTTAGAGCCCTACCTGTGAAGCTGGACTTAAAACCAGGAGGAGGAGGAGCCTGCTGACTCTGCCAGGAAGGCCTAGTGAATCCATCACTGTCACCAAAACTCTGCTGAGGCTGCTGGTTACTGAGGAAGAGCTTGTATACTCCAAAAGCAAGAGCCAGAAGAACTATTATAACAATTGCTCCAGCACCAGAATCAGAAGAATCTTTCCTTGACTGATAATAGCTAGAGCCAAAGCTTCCAGAGTTCTTCACTTTCCTTTCACCTTCCTCAGTCAGCTCTAGCCTGAACAGCAAACTACAGGAGCCTCTTAAGATGTAAGGGTCATCCGGATAATCGTAGCCCTCACAGCTCACTTCCATTCGTCCGAAACGGTACTTATTTTCCAAGTCTGCTTTGCACTGCCACTGAAAAAATAAGCACAACAAAGTTAAACTTCCTGCTCCAGAGATGAAAATACCTGTCTGCTTCCTCAGATACGCTCTGAAAAAGCTGTAAGTTCTAACAGATCATCTAGAAGGCCACAGAGTAAGAAATTTATCAGCAGTCTTAATTTGAAAAGGTCTAGAAATTTTAAGTTAAGTGAAAGTTTTTTAAAATCCTAAGAGTTAAAACAATCCAATCTTTCAAAACACAGAAGAGTTGTAGCTCTGGAAGAATTTGTTTTTCTTCACCGAACAGGTTTTTCAAGTATCCCTTCTTTAGGTACAGGAATACTTCTAAAAATTACCTGTAGCCTGTGCAACAGTTACTCAACAAATGCCTGTCCCATGTAAACTGGATAGCAGCTAAAAAAACATGATATGGAAGTCTGAAACCCAGCGCACCTGATTCCATTTGTGGTCACACAGAAATCAAAAGAAATTGGGACAGACATCATGTGGCATTCATAAGCCATGCTTAACAATCAGGTTGTGATTCTGCAGTTGAATATATGCAGATGCCTCAGTCTCACATTTCTTTGAAGTATTTGAACTTAGGTATCACCTCTAACTGCAAGCAACACATATTTTGGAGGGAAAAAAAAGGATTATTTTCTAAATTAATAACTTATGACAGCAGTACCAACTGCTGATTCAAATTTAACTGTATTTTTATAATACTGTAGCAGTTTTAACAATTGTCTTTAGCCTTGATTCCTGGTCAATCTATTGGCAGAAGCCTAGGTAATAGCTAACAAAATAGAAATACTATTTATTGACCAGTACTGACACACTGACATGCAGGAAGAAGCCACCTAAGTCTGAAATGTCATTTTTAAAAGGCAGAGATGAAGTGCTGCACATATTTACAGCCCTTTCTACTACAATAAAAATTGGAAATGTACGCAGCAATATCAAAGCAAGAGCATCCTCTGGAGTTTACACGAGTTTGATTTTATAAACTTGAGCAACATTTTCATTAAACCCAATGAGGGTTTGCTATGCAGTGTTTTTACATTAGAGCCTTCAAAGGTACACCTACAGTAGTTCTGAAAAATCCAAACCCCGGAAGTATTTAGGTTAAGTTTTAGTTGTCACAGGTCCTCTAACAAAAAGCAAACTGAACTGACACCCGAGCCCACTGCTCTTTTCTCCTTCAGAAGTTACCGTGTCTGGGAGGAGACGACTCTGTTAGACGTTTAACGAGTTTTAAGTAGTTACCTGTACATCATGGCCGTCCCAGCCTCTGTTGTAACACTGAACAACCTCGGGGACACGGGAACATCCAGCAGAGCCTCCCGTGCACTGCAGCTGAGGGACCGCAGGTGCCCGCCGGGACGCCGTGTACTCGCCTCTCCGGAGGGTGAGCGCCTGCACCTCCCTGAGCAGAACTCTCCCTGAAACAGGCACGGCAACCGTCAGCGTCCGTCCCGATGCACTCCCCCCCCCCGCCGCCACGGCCCCCTTGCCGGGAGGGGGCTGACAACACGAAGGGCGCGGCAGCGAGCTCCGTAAAGAGGCGAGGCGCCGGGAAGCGCCGGACGCGCTGAGGGGAACGCGGCCGAGCTCGCCGTTTCCTTCCGAGGGCACTCGGGGTCACTCGGCTCCGAGGGTACAACCGCCCCAGGCCGCGCAGCGGAACCGCTCCCCCCGCCAGCCCACCGCCCCACGCCAGCGCTAACCCAGCGGCTCCCGGGGGGTGGGGGACGACTCGGGTCTCACCCTGCTGGTCCCAGCACCACGCGGAGCCCGCGGCAGCGCAGAGGAGGAGCAGGAAAAGCGCAGAGCGGGCCCCAGCCCTCCCGGCGGCCGCCATGACAGCTCTCAGGCGAGTGTGTCCGCCCCCCCGCCGGTCTTCTCCCGGCGCGGCGCCTCTCATTGGCTGATCCTACGGGAAGGGGCGGGGAAGGAGCAGGAGCACGCGCACCGCGGGGCTGCCCCGAAGCCCCGCCCCTAAGTGGTCCTCGGGGCCAATGGGCGGTGCGCGGTAGGCGGGTCCCTCGCTCCGAGTGGCGGGCGCGGCAGCTTCCCGCGCTCCGAGGAAGTGTTGGGGGGGGCGGGGCGGGGCGGGGCGGGGATGGCGCGTCGCGGGCCCTGCCCGCCGCGCGGAGCGCGTCACGTGGGCCGCCGAGCGGGCGAGGGCGCCTGCGCGCTTCCCCTCCCGGCCGGGGCGGTTCCGCTTCCCGGCGCGAGCCCCTCCGCCTGCGCGGCTCGCGGGACGGGCGGCGTCGTCATGGCCGGCATCAAAGGTGCGCGCGCGGGGCTTGAGGGGGGGGGTGGGGTGGGGGGAAGGGAGGCGGAGCGGTTGCCCTGGAAACGGTGGCGGGTTGTCCGTCCCCCCCCCGCATCACCTCACCTCACAACCTGGCGGGGGCCCTGCGGTGTCCGGGGCGGCCCCGGGCCTTCCGCCGGTGGGGCCGCACCCCCCCGGGAGGCCCCGCTCTGCCGGGCGGCCGGGGCTGCCCTGGGCCGCCCTCCGGGGGGGAGCGAGGGGGGGCTCGGCAGGGTACTGACCCCTTCCCCCTGCTGTTGGTTTGTGTTCTCGTTGTAGCCTTGATTAGCCTGTCCTTTGGGGGAGCAGTCGGACTAATGTTCTTGATGCTGGGATGTGCCCTTCCCCAATACAAGTAACGTGCACTCTCTTCCTATTCTTCGTTTCCGTCTGCGTGTCTGTAACGCCAGAACAGTTTGGCTTTCGGAATTATGGACTGACAAGTCCTCTGTGTGTAGGGGGGCTCTGGGGGTGTGTGTGTGTGCTTGTCTTCAAAAGATTGGGGTGGGGAAAAAAAGACCATACAGGAGTTAATTCACCGTGAAAGCGAAGGCAACAAAAATTAAATCTCTAGGCCTGGCTGCAAACTGCTAGACATGCACTGTCCTAGCGCGTCTCCAACATTGTCCCTCTTTGGCTGGTAAGCAGATAGCACCGCCTGAAGTAGGCAGCAAGTGTGTATTCTCAGGGAAGCGTCTGCATTTTCTCTGGCTACCTAGTGGTGGCTGTCAGGGGGTCTCTCGGCTGTGCGCCACACTTGGTAACGTAGTGCCTGGAATAATTGCAGCTGCTGTCTGTACGTTCGGTCTATTGATTCCTGTCTCTTAGTTTCTAGCAGGTATGAAGTAGTAGACCAGAAGTTCAGAAAATTAGGCCTATGGCTTTGACCCTTTGCAAGCAAATGCTGGCTTTATAGACAGTCTTTCAAATTTACTTATTTAATGTTAGATAAATCTTTAATAGCCTGTTGATAGTCCTGTTAGTGGTTGTGAATTGCAGTTCTCTACATATATGACCAGCTTGCTTTTGTTATCAAACCAGGGCTGGTGACACAAACCCTTAAGGAGGAGATCTTTATGCAGTCACCCTTCAAACAGTGCAATAAAATTTTCTTGAAACAGTGTGCAACTGAATTGGTGTGTCTGAGAAATCTAGTCCGGTGAGCTGCAAGCAATAAAAGATGATGTTGCTAAATATGATGGTGTAATTTTTGTAGGTTTTTATTGGATGAATTCAGATTAAAAAAAAAAAAAAGTCTCAGTGCCCCATGGCAGCTGAGTCTTGGCTGAGAACAATACACTCTTCCATGTATGTGCACTGAAAGCTTATGGGCAAAATGACATGAGGGCTCTACAAAGGTATCTCTGCAATTCTTAAGTAAAGCTGACAGGTTAAACTCAAGAGTTAAGCTCGTCTTCTGAGGTGGTGTTAGATTTAGGCTTGCTTAGTGAAATCTTGCTTTATGAATATCCTGTTAGCGAGCGCTCTGCTGCTGCCGCTGAGGTCAGCTGAAGCTGCTCACAAACATGGTCTGCTGGATTTGTGTCACCTTTCTCTGGGCTTGTGTCTGTCTCATGTCTGTGGATGCTGGGTGGGGAGAGTGCCTTGCATTGATTTTGGGGAAAAACGAGAAGTAAATCAAGTTAACTTTAACTTTTCTTCTTCTTTCTTTTTCAGCCAGTACTGGCCACTGTTTGTTCTGTTTTTTTACATCCTTTCTCCTATCCCATACTGCATAGCAAGAAGATTAGTAGATGACACAGATGCTACAAGTAATGCCTGCAAGGAGCTAGCAATATTTCTTACAACAGGCATTGTTGTCTCAGCATTTGGTCTACCGATAGTGTTTGCAAGAGCAGAACTGGTTAGTAATATTTCCATCCTTTTTTTTTTTTTTTTTGCTAGAAAACTTCATTCTTTATGGGTTTTTTACTGAAGGTAAAGCTCTCCTGCACTAAGCAACTCTTACAAATATGTACTTAAGATGCTTGCAGTGGAAGCAGAATAAGATTTCTTTTAGCAAGAAGAACTAATGCTAGAAACGGAAGCGTGGCAGTATGTCGTGATTGCCAGTTGCTTCACATGGTCATGGAGTAAACGTTAACATCCTATATGCAATGCAGAGAAAATGAGATAGAAAATAGTGTGAAAACTTAACAGGCAAGTAACCAAATATAAAAGTGTATAGAACATTTTGAAGGCAATTTGGAATAGTTGGGCTAAAGAAGCACGAATAAATAATGTATTTTTGCATGCACTGTAAATGATAAGTGGTGATATTTTTTAAACTTTCAAGTTGTCATTACATCTTACCCAGTATATGCCTTTTCACTAAAATCCTTTAAAAGATGACCTTGTTTGTCTGACTTTCACTACTAAGTCAAAAAACATGGAGTGCACTTTCCTAAAATCTCTTTAGGGAAGAGCAGTTCACACGGTGGGTTTGAATGCCTCCCACCCTTTGACTAATCCACTTACTCTCCTTAGAAAACTGTCACCTCCTTTTTTGTTACTGGGATATCTGCTGGCATTTTGAAGACCTGCATTGTAAAATGTCAGTTTAAAAAAATCTCGTAGGATGGTGAGGAAGTATAGCTGGGCTGCAGATGTGTTTGATGCTGTTGCCTAGCCTTCCTTTACTATTTTTGGATGTTACAGCAGAACAGCTGTGCTTGCTAGCCAGCGCCTCAAGCATGGCTAGAAGAAGCTTGCGGTGCTGCTTGGCTACCTGTGAATTGGTCGAGTCGTTTTGGGTAAACCCAGCCTTCTTGGCATAACCACACATAACGAGATACCACCTTCTTGTATCCTGGACCTGTTGCTGAATTTTGTCTAGAATGTGACAATAAGACGTTACCTTTTGTCTTGTCAGTGTTCAGTTCAAAACATGTCTAACTGAGTTCCCCTTGTTCACAGATTTACTGGGGCGCATGTGCACTTGTTCTTACGGGGAATACAGTCATCTTTGCCACTATCCTAGGATTTTTCTTGGTCTTTGGCAGCAATGACGACTTCAGCTGGCAGCAGTGGTGAAAGGAAGATAAGAGAACTATCACAGGCATCTCATCGTGCAGTGGCCATCCATACAAATGAGAGAATGGGCAATAAAGAGAAGTAGCGTAGCAAGCCTCTTGAGTATTCTAGATGCTCCTTTTCACCTTGTTTGTTCTGAGTGTACTACTGTTTCTGACAGGGTTTCTACATTTTTATGAAGCGGGGAGACGGTTGATTTCATTTTTACCTATGATATGTTTTTAGGTGCTGTCTTGGTTTCAAATTGTCATCCTTCTGTCCAGTGTTTATGTGAAGCTTTAAATCTGGAACATTTAAACATGGTTTCAAAGAAGATTCAAAGCTTTTTGTTTGTTTGTTTGTTTTGTTTTAAGTTAAGCATTAAGACTGTGTTTCAAAATAACTTTTTTAATATAGTGATTAAATTCCAGACAAGCTGAATGGAGGTAAGAGATTGTGCACCACCACTGTCAATTACCAGATCAGTAGATTGTCGCTGTATTTTACCAGAGGCAGGGTGGGGCGGGGAGTACCAGTTGCAGATTTTTCTTCTGCCCATACCTCTGACTGGGTGTTGAATGTTGATTGCCTTCGTTTCAGGAGAAGGCTGAGGAGCGGGTAGAGTAATTTGGGAGAAGTCCTAAATTTTAACATTGCTAGCACTTTTACCTGCTTTGTTACCAATTCTCATGTGGATGTGACATTCAAATACTCTGTAAATGTATTGATGATATGACATACAAAACTAAAGTGGATTGTAGGGGAAGGGAAAATGATGTTTAAATTCAATTTTTTTAAAAAATATCTTTTGAACTCTTTATAAGTATTGTATGGTTTTGAACTTATGTCAGCTTTTTACCACAAAGATGGTAAAATGTTCATTTATGGAAGTACTGGTCTGTATTAATTTGAAGCATATACAAAGCTATTTCCTCCTTACCCTTTTTAATTTATTTTATACATAGTATATATATATATATAAATATATATAAAAAAAATAGCTTTTCAAATGTAGATTAAAACTTTGTGTTAAAATTGCCTAAGAATGATTTTCTGCCCACCCCCCTTCACACAATGCAGTTGAGGCATGACTTTTATGGAAGTCACTGTCTGAACTGCTTTCACTGACTGTTTCTAAGTTCTTATGCACTCTCGGTTAAGAAGATTTAATGTTATGTCTGTAACTGTAGCTTGTGTTCTGTAAGATTGCACATGTAGCTTCAAATATTTAAGACAAGTTTTCTGCATACCTCTCAACTGTCTGGATTTTTAATTTAAAGAAACCTGCCATTAGACACTCCATCACGAGGTATGTGATGTGTCCCAGTTAACCAGGTTTGATTGTACCATGTACAGTGATAGACTTGACCAAACACACTTCTAAACTATATTTGTGTTCAATTCTTTACAGAAAAGTGTAGGAAAGTTATAATGCATAATTAAAAGCTGATGATTGCTTAGGTTTTGCTTAACAGTGGAGCAGTATGAAAAGGAACAGAATTGCAAGTCTTAGCTGTAGTATTTGTGTGCAGACATAAACAAAGTATAAAGCTTGAATATTTGAAATCTGATAGTAATGGTAGTTACTTACACGATATGCTCAAGGCGCTGATACCGGCAGTAGGGGTGCAGCTACCTACACGTGCTGCTTTGTTAATGTCATCCTGTGTATAAAATAAGAGCTCGATTTTATCCGTAATGGTAAAGGAACAAATAGGTGCCAAGGCCTGACAGCAGGAGCCAGTCTGTAGCAGAGAGTCTTTCAGCCATAAGCACGTGCTTCACCAGACTGCCTGTGATGGTGACGTTTGGAGGTGTGTAAGGGCTCTAGAATCTTTTGTTTCATCCCCTTTTTCAGTGAGACTTCTGCATCCTTGCCCCCAGCATGACGGGTGCTTTGGAAAACCGGTGACTAGATTTGCAGCCTATTGCAGTCCTTGTGAAGGAGGAACGCTTAGGACTTGTACAAATCTTCTGAATCTGTTACTGACTCCTTTTTTTGTGATCAGGAACTGTGTTTTCTTTTTCATTCCCGTGCTGCTAACCTTACTTCTCCATGTGATGCTACTCCCTGGATCACTGGCCACTGAGCTGACCATGTATGTATTGGTGGTATGTTTTTTGTACGCTGATTGCATTACAGGCATTACCTTCTTTTGCGTGCACACCAAGTACATGCAGGATTGCTCTGATTTATGAGCTGGACACTTGAGAGGTATCCTTCCACATAATATGCACTGAGATAGTGTTATCATCCTTCTAGAGGGAAAAACTTTGAACGATAAAAAATTTAAGTAGCAATCTTGAGTTCTGTATGTTTAATCAAAAATACTCTAATAAAAGAGTATTTTGTTTAAAGTATTAATTGTTTTTTTCTTTCTTTAATGTGGTTGTCATTCCTGTTCAAGAGTTGTCACCAGATTACTCAGTAGTCTTTCAGAGTGAGTATTTGTGTCATTTACCATGGTTGACTGTATAAAAGGTGGCTCAATTGTCCACTGCTGTACTAGTTGCTCTGAACTGGCGTTGCTGGTCGTATCTCATACCTACAGGTTATCTTCAGTTTGTGTTTGAAGTCCAAATTCTGATATGTTGGTATTACATAAAGTGATAGCTGCCTTTACCCTCTGGCGTATTTATAACTGTAATTTTTATTAATAAAATCCCAGCCTTTGTAATATTTGTAATCACTCATGACATTTCTGAAATTTGAAAATTGATGGCAGTCTTTTAGCAGAAGAAAGTAATGGGAATTGGTGGAAAATCCTTTTCTTGGGGGTCAGAGTGGGGGTGATCACCCCCTTCCCATACAAGCACACTTTGGTCCATCTTTTGATGTGTTTTTTTTTTTTTTTTTTTTTTAAGTTTATTCTGATTTTGGGGGAAAGGTTGGTTAAAATATTAACAACAAAAAGTTTATTCAGTTAAAGTATTGGAAGTGGAGTTGAGTTGTTTGGCAATAACCAAGATGCTACAGCTGCACACAGATTTTTTTTTTTTTTAATGAGATCAGACCGAACTCGGCGTGTAATGAAGAAAATGACAGTGCATCAGCTCAGCAGGTGAACCCCCCACCCCGGGGCCTTACTGTCGGGCGCTTTTTAGGGAGAAGGGCAGATGATGGCGGTGGGGGGGGCCGGGTGGCGGAAGGGGGCTGCGGTCAAGGCCGATGGCGGTGTGAGGGGGCCGGGGGGCGCTGAGGACGGGCCCGATGGCGGTGTGAGGGGGCCGGGGGGCGCTGAGGACGGGCCCGCCGGCGGTGTGAGGGGGCCGGGGGGCGCTGAGGACGGGCCCGATGGCGGTGTGAGGGGGCCGGGGGGGGCTGAGGACGGGCCCGATGGCGGTGTGAGGGGGCCGGGGGGCGCTGAGGACGGGCCCGCCGGCGGTGTGAGGGGGCCGGGGGGGGCTGAGGACGGGCCCGATGGCGGTGTGAGGGGGCCGGGGGGCGCTGAGGACGGGCCCGATGGCGGTGTGAGGGGGCCGGGGGGCGCTGAGGACGGGCCCGATGGCGGTGTGAGGGGGCCGGGCCGTCAGAAGCGCGGGAGCACCGAGGGGAAGGCGGGGCCCCGCTGGGCCCTGCGCGACGTGGCGGCCGGGGCGCGCGGCCCTTCCGCTGCCGGGGCAGCCGCCGGCCCCGCCTCCCGGCGCGTTTCTCCTCCCGGTTCCAAGATGGCGGCGGCGGCGGCGGGCGGCGCGGGGGCGGCGGCGGCGGCGCTGTGGAGCGAGGTGAACCGCTGCGGCCAGAACGGGGACTTCGCCCGCGCGCTCAAGTCCGTTAACAAGAGTGAGTGAGTGAGTGAGCGAGTGCCGCCATGCCGGCACCGGGCCCCGCCGGCAGCGTGCGGTCCCTGGTGTCCGTGTCCCCTCCGCCTCGTGCCGCGGCCCGTGTCCGTGCTGTGCGAGGGGAGAGGCAGAAGCGGGTGGGGGAGCCGAGCGGGGCGGCCGCCTGGGCCCCGCTCCCGCACCGGGAGCATCGGCCGCTTCGGTTGCCTCACGTAGCCCTCGCTGCGGGCCTGGCCTCCCGGGGTCGTCGTGGGTTTTGGTTCGGCTTTGAGCGTGGGAGGATGGAGGGGTTTTTTCCCCCCCCAGGGAATTGGAGGAGTGGTGTTGTGCGTGTGGGCCAGCTGATTTGGGAGCGATAGCTTGCTCGGGAGTGAGAGCCCACATTGAGATGTGTTGTTCTGATAGATGGGCGTCGGGAAACGGATTGCAGGATAAGACACGTTATGGCTGGAAGTTCTGTCTTTGCTGCTTTTAGGGAGTCGGGACTCGTCTCCTGTCCTGGCAGATCTGAGGGTTGGGATCGCATGAAAAAATCGAATACCAAAACCAAGTTCTCTCTCCTAGTTCTCCCTCACTGTCTTCTATTGGCAGAAAGTGTTCATATATAGCGTAACAACCTGTCTAGAGCGATACCGTTCTTCTGTATCAGGTGCTTTTCTTCCTATACGTGCTTTACGTGGCACTCTGGTTTTGGCACCTTGTTCTCTGCCTGGAAGTGAAATGCCAGGGAAAGGTTTGTCCAGGTGTGTACAGCTGCTTTGGTGCAGCTTTGTTCCAGGCATGTTAGCACAGCAGTTGCTTGGGGTAAGTTCAGTATTTATACTGGATTCTTTTATGCTGACAGGATTTGTTTCATGATCTGAGCTAAAGCAAGCTACGCCAGGACTCTTTTACGTTGACATGACTGCTCTCTACCGTGGGTTTTTGCAACTGTAATAACATATGGCTCTTACAAAGCCTTAATGCATCTAATAACGAGTTAAATTGTTGTGTTGAAACTGCTTTCTCCTTTAGTACTGCAGATCAGCAAAGATGATGTGACTGCACTTCAGTGTAAAGTAGTGTGTCTTATCCAGAACGGTAACTTCAAGGAAGCCCTCGGCGTAATCAATACCCACACTAAAGTGTTAACCAGGTGAGTTATGTTTTTCTGTACTCTAAAAACCATGAAACTGCAAGTCCTTGAGAAACTGCTGCAACTTTGGTGGTGGGGACTAATAGGCAGCAAAATAAAGAGCAGGAGGTACTCAGAGCCTTTGGGATTTGGCTTCTCAGTGAAACACTGATTTATTCTGGGTGTGAGCGGTGGTCCAGGTGAGTTTGAGACAAGTCTAACATCCTGCTATTCCTGTTGGAGGGATTGTCCTAATCTAGTTTTCAGCCACCTTCATGAGCTGAATCTTCTTGTTGACGTGGCTGAGCACCACAGCTGGTACAAGGGAAGAGGACAGATCTCATGGGGAGTGAAGAGAGAAGGGAGAAGCCCTTGCCAGTGGCAGCGAGCTGTTAGCTTTGCTTGGCTGTCTCATCATCATACCGCTCCTCGGGGTCCTTTTGTTTGCCAGCCTGAAGGTACTGCTTCAGCTTTTAGGGTGGTGGAAGTCCTTTGTGCATGTGCTCAAAATCAGGACCTTGGAGACAACTTGTGTTTGAGAACAAGTCAAGCTTCACATTTGTGTCAGTAGTCAGGCTCTAATTTTCTTCCTAAGATGCTCTTTGTGCAAGAACTAGGATGAAAATTGCTACCCGAGAACTGCCTGGCAACAAAATTTTTGTATTTTGACAGATGCTGTTCTTGTTAAGGAACTTCCCAGAAAAGTGTGTTGTAGTATCAGTGTGATGAAACACACCCTCATTTATGTTCACATCTGGATAAAATACAATTACCTTATTCACAACTTCCTTCTTTCCTGGGATATAAGGGGTATAATTTAAGTTTTTTAGCTTGTTTTTTTAGTATATAGTGAGGAGAAGGAGTAATTTCTCTAAATTCGTCTGGCTTCAGAGTTCACCCTATGATTTTTTTAGCTTGGCTTTACTGTGTGTCTGTGTCCTGCAGAGCAGGGAAAGTGATGGTTCTTGCTGTGTCTTAAAATTGTCCTGTCCTGCACTAAGGCCCACTGCTTTGCTTTAGTTCTTAATGCCATTAATTTGTTTTCAGACTACCTTAATACTCAGTTGTACTGAGATAATTTTAAATAGACGAAGAAACAGCTGGTGACAAGTGACACCAGTGATGAACTAAGGGAATCACTGATTAATTTTTCTTTGGCTTAAATGGCGGGTAGGTGGAGCATAGCATTCAGGAGGTAGGTGGAACATAACATTCAAGGCTCTGCTTGTTAATACTTCCCTGCTGGTGTGAGCTTGCTTTGAAGACAATTTTATGTTAACATCAGCAAACCCTTTTGCTGCACTTATGCTGTGCTGATATTTCGAAATAGGTTAATATTACATTTGGCTTAGTATCAGACTGTAAGAGGGACTATGTTTTATACCATTTCCTTTCTCTCTGTGTGAGTCGATCGTCTTTGAAAGATTGCAGTAATGATATGCCTTCTTAAGAAGGAGTCGCATAATGAAATTTGTTATTATTTTGCCTTTAAGCATTTGATTCTCATAATCAGTAGACGGTGGGGGGTGGGCATGGACATGACACGGATTTTAAATGCCATGTGTCTGCAAACACCAGAAAAAATGAACCTCTTCTGTCGGGTGAAATTTTGACATTCCTTGGCTGTTGAACACAAAGGAGGTTTAAGATATTTTCAGTGCTCAGCAGATACATAAATCAGTAATCTGGGATCATGTGCTCACCTCTGGTGTTTGGCGCTTTGGGAATGTAGCAGTCTGTGACTAATCAGGGCTGCTTAAACCAGTGTGTTCAGGTGGGTGAATGCTGTTGAATGAAGACTACAGTGCCTGCACTCAGCCTTTGTCTTGTCCTTGCAGTGACATTATTGCCTTTGAGAAGGCCTACTGTGAATACAGGTTGAATCGTATTGAAAATGCTCTCAAAACCATTCAGAGTGCCAGTCAGCAGACAGACAAACTGAAGGAGCTTTATGGACAAGTGGTAATTACAAGCTTTTCTTCCTGGTGGGAGTTTCATATGCTGGGTGCCTTGTCCCTCCTCAAATATGTGGGGCAAGTATGGGGACAGAATTTCCTTCTCTGTCTTGAAGGTAAGGCGAGGTATAGTTCCCAACTGCTCCAACTTCTGTGGAGTTTCAGACACCTGTTGCTGGAGGCAGAGTCATCATCTTACTGCCACTGAACCAAAGCAGTTCATTTGTCACTCCCTTGCCCTTCCTGGGTCTGGCCTGGTAATAACCATCTGGCTGAGGCCACGGAGGATGGAAGAGAGCTGATGAGATTTATTAGTGGTTGAGTCATCTGCTTGCATTAGATACCTGTCCAGGAATGGTTTGCAGGACCTAACATCTCAGGTGTTAGAAGTGAAGCAAAAAAGTTGTATTTCATCTCCGGTTTCTCCCTAGTTGATCCAGAACAGTTTTGTGAAGAATTGGCTGTCTTCTCTCAGTTGCATGAAAGACCATCATTTCACCTCTCTCAGAGAGAGGTGATCTAATCTGGAAAAAGGCTGTTTAAGGGCAAAACTGTGTAAACCGCTGCTTTGAAAGAAGCTGTTTTAGGAGTAAAAACTGTGCCATTTATGTAGAGGTATCTGGTGTCGTTGTTTGAGTCCTTGCAAATGTGTGTGATCTGTAGAGTTTGCCCTTAAAGGTAGGTGCAAATTTTAGTAATGTTCAGCTTAAAACTCATGGTACTCTGCTGCTGCCAGTCCATGGGGAGGGAGGAGGGAGGCTGTAGTTACTAGCATACACAGGGAGGTACTGTTCTGAAGGCTAATCCCTTCCTCTTCTCAGTTGTA